ATGCAGTGCCAGGGATTGAACCCTGACCCCTGAGTTTACCTAAGCAAGCACTTATTCCACTGAGCTAAACTGCTAGCCCATTTATTTGTTGTTTTTGAGACAGGAACTTGCTGTACAGTTGAGGCTGGCCTGGAACTCACCATGCAGCCCAGGCTGGCCTTAAATTCTTTGTTGTAAATTCCTTGTCGTGATGGTCCTCCCTCAGCCTCCCAAGTGCTGGGACTACAGGTATAGGTCATCATGTCCAATGTGGTGTTGTTTTTGAGACATGGTCTATAGTTCGCTATGCAAACTCACTGTGTAGCCCAGGCTAGCCTGAAACCTGCAGCAATCCTCCTGTCTCAAACTACTAGAGTGTGGGATTGCAGGCATGAACCACTACGCCCAGATAATGATAACCCTTTTTAACATTCCAGGAGATGCAGACAATGCTTCCTTGCACAGCATTTCCTAGTATGTACTGCAGATTTAGGCAAAACTGTATGACCTAAGAACCAAAACATTCTGATTATCCGTGCTAGTATCACCCAAAACAAAAGAGCAAAAGCATGATGACACAGATGACAGCTGGGGATGCTGGTACACATCTATAGCTCCAGGACTTCTGAAGGCTCAGGTAAGAGGATTTCAAATCAACCCCAGCCTGGACAATTTAGCAAATTAATGAGGTCCTATCTTAAAATAAAAAATAAAGTGGGATGGATATAATTCATTGGGAAAGCCCTGGGTTCGATAATCTTCAGTATCCTCCCCAAAAATGAGATTAAACCAGGTTTCCATTTGTAACTGAAAGAGAAACAGTAGCAGCCCAAGTAATCTACAGAGTATAAGAAAATACCTAAATTCTAACAGAAATTTTTGTGTTGGTTTTTCTTAAACAGGATCTTGCTATATATACAGTTCAAACTCACGGTGATCCTCCTGCCTCAGGCACCCAAGTATGTATCACTACCCCAGCTCTAACAGGAATTTTAAAAGTAGTTCTGTAGGGGGCTGGGAAGATGGCTCAGTGGAATAAGCGATTCCAGCAAGTGCAAGGGCTTGAGTTCAATCCCCAGTTCCGTCATAAAATAAAATAAAAGTAGTTCTGTAATTTCCAAATTTGAAAAACTATATACAGAGTTGATTAGAACTAAAATGTATTTATAGATCAAATCCCATAATAATACATCCCCCCAAAAAATTCTTACATTCTTCTAAGCCAGAACTTGGCTCTATGATTGGAAGTAGGTGGATTGAAACCTTACCTCAATGATCTTGAGATTTCTGGGGTGGTTATTATGATACTTGTTAAAATAGAGTCTGATAGATATTTGTAATTTGTACACATTCATTAGTGTAGCTTGTCATCATCACCAAAATAGTCTCTGAAAGTCTTATTTCCTAATGAATCCCAACCTGCATTCCTAGGTACTGTTGCTACCTTAAAACACAGCACTTCCAAGAGGCTGTAGGGCTGTTACCTCTGCTGTTCCCCGACCTCTGGCCACACTGAACCAGAATAGGAAACTTCACAAGAAGAGACACAGGGGCCGGGGAGATGGCTCAATGGAATAAGTGCTTCCCTGGCAAGTGCAAGGTCCTGAGTTCAATCCCCAGTTCCACCAAAAAAAAGAAGAGACAGAGGGTGTCTAGACCCTTAACTCACTCATGACTTTCTGCCCACTGAAGATGAAAACATTATCTTTTTACTAACACTGTATGGAATGTATCCTTCCTTATCCTGCTACTCTTAACTACTGGTATGCTATGGGGGGAATGGGAGGGCACGCACCATGATGTCTTTAAGGAAAAGCACTGAACAGTATCTTATAAAATGAAATCCTTTCAAGTAGAAAAGAAAATTTCTAAGAAACTTCATACTCATGAATGAATACAATCACATAAAAGTTTGTCCCTTAGAGTTGGGGAGATAGCTCAGTAGAATAAGTGCTTGCCTGGCAAGTGCAGGGTCCTGAGTTCAATCCCCAGTACCGTGAAAAAAAGGTCTGTCCCTTAGCTGAGCATGGCAGCTCATGCCAGTAATCCCAGCACTTGAGAGACTGAGGAGGAGGACTGCTATGATTTTGAGGCCAGTCTGGGCTACATAATGAGTTCAAGGCAGTCTGAACTATACTGGGTAAACCTATCTCAAAAACCAAACTTTGGGCTGGGAGATGGCTCAGTAGAATAAGCGCTTGCCCGGCAAGAGCAAGAGCCTGAGTTCAATCCCTGGTTATAAAAAAAAAAAAAAAAAAGTACTTAGGCTATAAAAGTAATTATTATAGGGGGCTGGGGAGATGGCTCAGTGGAATAAGCGCTTCCCTGGAAAGTGCAAGGGCCTGAGTTCAATCCCCGGTTCCACACACACACAAAAAAAAACAAACACCAAAATTCAAAACCAAAACAAACAAGAAATAGAAAAAAGGGCCAGGGAGATGGCTCAGTGGAATAAGTGCTTCCCTGGCAAGTGCAAGGGCCTGAGTTCAATCCCCGGTTCCACCAAAAAAAAAGAAGAAAAAGAAAAAAGCTGGCCCTATTCCCTTTGTAACAGACCAACTTCATTGATCTTCTCATCAATGCCATGCTTCCTCTTCAGTTCTTCTGTTTAAACTGAAGTCCCTTCTCCATTTTCTCTTACTTTACAATTAAAGCTTTGCTTCCCTTCTCACAATTTTTAGCCTAGTTTTAATTTTTATTTATTACTGGGTCAGAGGACCCAATGTCCAGTATCACATCCAAGCTATACACTTCCACTGACAACACACAGCAACAGACTGAAGTACAGATCAATAGCAGGAGCAGGCAGGCCAGAAGTTCAAACGCAGCCTGGTTAACTTAGCAATTTCCCAAGACCATGTCTCAAAATGAAAAATAAAAAGGGCTGTGAATGTAGGTTAGTGTGAAGGCCCTGGGATCAATCCCTAGTACAGGAAGGGGAAGAGAAAGGAGGAAGGAGGGGGAAAAAAAGAAGAAATGAAAAGGGATCCAAATCCATCACAAAAAAAGAGGAGGGCTGGGGAGACAGCGCAGTAGTCTAAGCACCTGCTTGGCAAGTGTAAGGTCCCAGGTTTGATCGCCAGTACCGCATGCCATGCCAGCCTTGGAACCCTGGGCATGCTATGCTGGCCACTGAAACTGGGTGTGGTGGGAAACACCTATGATCCCAGTGCTGGACAGGCTGAGACAGGAGGATCACTACGAGCCTAAGCTGCACAGCAAGACGCTATACCAAAGAAGAAACAAAGAGAGAGAGAACAAGAGAGCGAGAGCAAGAGAGAGAGAGAGAGACAGGGAGAGGGAGAGGGAGAGGGAGAGGGAGAGAGAGGGAGCAGGAGAGAGAAAGGAAAAGGAAAATGTCTACTTTCTAGGGGTTTGATGAGTGCCAATTTAAGGCAGACACAGTGACACACACCTGTGGTGCATGCCTTTAATCCCAGTACTCTAGAGGAGACTGACACAGGAAGAAGGCAAGTTTGAGCCTAACCAAGACAACTCAGCAACACCCTGTCTCAAATCAAAAATAAAGAGAGCTGGGGTATCTCAGTGTGAAGTGCCTATGTTCAATCCACAGTACTGCAAAACCAAGTACCACCTTAGCATGTAAAGGTCAGTAGAGACACTGGCAGTTTCTGGGCCATTACTATAAGCATTACATAGTTTATGCAATTATTTGCACTTTTTTTTTTTTTTTTTCTTTTGGCAGAACCAGGGATTGAACTCAGGCCCTTGTGCTTGCCAGGGAAGCACGTATTCTACTGAGCCATCTCCCTGGCCCCTAGGTTCAATTAATACCAAGGATTAATACCAAGGTGACTAACAAACTTTCAGTCCCATCTACCAGATGTAAATGGCAATAAGAAAAATGGAAGTGACATAAAAGTTATAATTTAGGGTAGTTTCTGTGGCTGGCCACAGAGTCCTATTTACCTCTCCAGCACCACTCTCCTGGAGAAGCTGTGATTGGATGCCAGCTGCTGTTATTTCTCCTTTCCCAAACAGATACAGCTTAGTCTTTTGCTGTACTGCCCCTAAACAAGGAGATTTTTCACTTACCACCTAACTCTCTCCAGACCTGTGCATCCTTACAGACTAACAGAAGACAGCTGAGGATAAGAAACTGTTCAATGTGATTTCCAAAAACTTTTTCAGAAATACACACTTCCTCCATTTTAAGTCTTAAGGTCTGTTGCCAGCATACATACCGTAAGGCTTGAGGGGTGTTAAAATTAGGCCGAGACTCAGCTACACGTTCTTCTTCCTCTGGGCCATCATCCTCCATGTTTGAAAATCCCATCTCATCCTGGAACTGTAGGCAAAGAAAAGGAGGGTTTCCTGGGGAACCAGCCTCTGTAAGCCACTCCCACAGCAACATGGGTAAATGAGAACTATAGATTACAGGATTTTATCATGCTACCACCAGAGTTTGCACTTCAGAACTCCCAGAACTCTGCACATGAGATGACTATTATGCCAAGAAAAAAAATCTCAACTAGCCAATTTATTTATTTATTCAACTAGCCATTTTATAATAGTGAGGACTGACTTGTTAACTCAAAACAACTATTCTCTTAGAAATATCTTTAAAGAGACAACTTTATGAGAAAGGCAGTCCTTGAACACAGAGAACTCTAAAGCTGGTTTACAATCTAGGTATGAACCAAATGATAGTGGGAGAGGACAGCACAAGTTTGCAGAGAGAATCTCACTAGGAAGAAACTACTAAATAAATAATCAAGAGTTTCCCACCTCACAAAATTTTCTTGCTACTGTATTTTCTACTGGGTGGACTAAAAGTGGAATGTCTCAGGTAAACCGCCTTTATAGAAAGAGCATCCCAAATCAAAGGACCTAGCTTGCTGAAAATCTATTTTCATCACATGATCTCACTCAAGTATCATTACTCACAGTTTCAAACAGTTCTTCCATCAATTCATTCACTTCCTTTTCTGTAAAAAATAAAATAAAATAAAATAAAATAAAATAAAAAAGGAAAAATTACATAGTTGGCAAAGGTATTTTCATTTTGCAACAAGGGGGAACTTGATGGAGACAATGTACCCTACTTCCTGCAAGTTATCTTATAAAATGCTCATAAATAGCCTTAAATCAAATCAAACTCTTACTGAAGACCAACTATGCCTCAGCGTAGCTCTAGGTGCTTGCAGAACATGAAATACCAAAAGAGTTAATACTTTCACATAAGGGCACCTGGCTAGC